AGCGTGGATGCTAAAATACGGCCTGGATATAGGCTGGTGAGAATTTTGAAAGTGGATTGATGGCTCACAATGCGACGGATTTTCATACGCCCTCATTTCGCTGTCTGCTTTTCAAGAGATAAGGCTTGTCGCAGCATTTTAGGTGGAAACCAATTCGGAAGCTTGAAGCTGCCAAAAACCATAGGACAAAAGCCATAGAACTGGAAATTCTCTTTTAAGAATCAAGGTACATAATAAGGCCCATCCGTCACACGTTACTTATCTGGACCTTGCTCCTGCCGCCCTCTGTGGCCACTGCTGTGGCCCGGATGTCCCCCGCATAATTGACCGCGAACTGATCGTACGGCCGCTTTGTTGCATACTTTTGGATGAGCGTTACTAATACACGGTGTATGAAACATATGTTGGACACCTGCGACAGTATGTTTTCCAAATTATCTTCCCTCACACCACACCATCGCAGAAAAATGGCCTCCGGGAAGCTGTCTGCGTTAGGTATGAATTGGCCCAACGGACACTTAATTGCCCATCATGCAACGTAAGCGTCTTGATCCGCTTTGGTGTGTAGGCAAGGGCGTAGCCAGGGCCTTGCCAAGGGGGAACACAAGGTTGACAAAAGCCCGTCTTATGGTGATCTCCCCTTCCCCCAGGGTCTCCGGATATAGCGTACTTGGTAACAAGCAACACGGTTTTCTTCGTTTCATTGTAATTTTTACTTTGTAACCATAACAGAAAGCAAGAGCTACCGTGAGCTCAATTCTGTTTAAATTTTGAGGTCATTAATCTGCAGACCTCAGGCGTTGAACGACTGCGTGGAATAAATCATCGGCGCTCTTGATTTACAATGGTTAGTTGACTCTAAACCGACAGAATTCAGATGCTGTGTTAATATTTTTAGCTGGGTTCTACAGACATTGAGGACACCGCGAAGGCAGATTGTAGATTGATATGTTTGATCCAAATTTGAAGAGGAAAATTTGTTTGCAGATCGAGTGGTCAACAATGTGTATTAACATGGCCAGGCCATGCTTGTCTGAAAATGTTCAACATTCAATAAGAATCGATTAGTGATATGATTTCTGTAACGTGTTTTTTAACATGCGCGCTCGGAAATCTTAGCAACAAAAACCTCAACACCAGGCGTTGCAGTCTCCGTAGTCCGGGAACCCTTAGCCTTGTAGCTAATATTTAGCTGTGGCCCACCAGTGGACGAAAATGATGACAATTCTAAAATGATTACCTTTAAACACTTAAATCGACTAGTAATACAAGTCATATGACATAATTTTGGGCATGCGCACTCAAAAATCTTAGAAACACAAGCCTCCACCCCAGGCGTTGCAGTTTACCCAGGTCGCGCAACGTCGGCCTAGCAGCTTTTACTTAGTTGTGGCCAACAAGTGGACAAAAATGACGACATCCCTAAAAAAGCATCCTTGAAAGCTTCATGACATCAGGTCTTACATATAGAAGGCAGTCTGAGGGCATATTTCACGTGTGCAATTTTTAGACTGATGAAAAGAATGGATTGGCCCTTAAAGCACCGCAAAGCGGTATGGAATCTGGAGGTTGAACTGGAAGAGTGAAGGTAAAATCTATATTTTTCGTGTTTTTGCAGCTTTCTATCTATCCAGAAGACCAATCAACATGGCGCCCGCCAGCCGGTGGCACTTGCAGTGGCTGAAACTCTTTGGTTTTACGGATATTGCAACCCAGACCATCCTTGTTTTTACTCTGGGGGTTGCGGGCGGACGTGTTCGAGCCTTTTGATGTATTTTGTTTCAATAAAACATTCTGAAAAAATTAACCCTCCCAGGCAAACATGGCATGACCTTGCCAGTTTTTTCAGCTTGCTTCGACCCACGTTATTCAAACATAATGAGACACCACTTTCCCAACAATAATGAGACCCCTTATTCCCTTCTGGGCAAGGGGCCTCTTGAGAAGAAGACCAGGGGCACATTACCGTTTCCCGTCAGGGCTGAAGGGCCATTCCGTCCCATCGCAAATTGTCTTCTTGCTATCATTCTGGTGGTACGGGGCGGGATCTCCTGGTCGATCCGGAGGCCATGAGAAGGATATATCATATCGCATTGTTTCCCTCCCTGACGCGGAAGGCCTTCCAACCCGCGTAGCTGGCCCCGGATCGTCATAGGAATGCTTATTGGGCAACAACAACCATGATCGCCGCAAGTGGTCTGGTAGTTGTCGCAAATACTCCGGTTCTGTGTTTTTCTGTGTTCTTCAGAGATATTGAGTGCTCCCTGATTATAGATTGCAGATGAAATAGGGTTCCTAATTTGTATTAACACGGCCAACCCAAATCCGTCTTAAATGCTCAAGATCCTGTGATTGCTGATTACTGATAGAAAACTACGTAATATGGTCTTGAACATGCGCGCTCGCAAGTCATAGCAATAACAGCCTCGACGCCCAGCGTTGCAGTCTCCAGGCCTTGAGGCATCGGCCGTGTGGCTGGAACACTAAGCGATGGCCAATGAACAAACAAAAAAGATGACACATTTTGGGGGAGATCGCTGGTGAACTAGGTAAATTGGCACGCATGTTTAATGTAGTGCAAAAGGAAGCCGAATGCAACATTAATCTGAAAAGTCGGGGGAGGAGCCGTTAACATTGCTGGCCCCCCTCCCCACCTTGAAAAGTGGGGGGGGGGGCGTGGTCTCCCTGGCCCTCCCCCCCCCGTTCCTACGCCCATGGATATTGTCAATTCTACCCCGTTTAGAGGTTAGGACATGGTGAGCAGCGATACTGCCGCCCTCTGGACAATTCTGGTGGCGCCCTCCCTGGGAATGACTAGGCGGGTTCACGGATGCAGCCAACTGTAAACGGCAAGGTGTATGATGGAGCGCCGAAAGTACTTACCATGTGACGCTGCATGAGCGTGATAAGTTAAAACTGTGCTTAACCACCGCCTTATAAGATGTTAAGATTCCACTGGCCTGCTTCGTGAAGTTTGGCGAAAACCAATCGTGTGGGATCTGGGAATGGTTTTAGTGAACGTCTCATGTACAAAGCTACGAATCAAACCATGCCGTCCGGATTCCCAAAAATCTGTCCGGATTTGCTGTGTGTCTGCGTACTGAAAGAAGGGCCGTTCTCTACAATCATCCTTGCCACTGAGGAATTCATTTCCCACATTCTTTCAAACACGTTGCAGCGGGCGGTAACAAGGGACTAGACTACGGATTTTAACATGGAATTTCAAGCAAGGGAATATGTGGTAGGTAACCAATAAACTATCCAAATCAATATGCTTAGCCCGCTTAAAGCAGCCATAGGGAGTGAGAAATGGGACGGTCTATTAAAAAAACAATTTTTACATTCATGACAGCGCTGTCGCCCTTTCGGATGTTGACGTTCGTGGGAGCCGAACATGGTGAGAACGGGTAGGATAATATACAAGCATTTTTGTTTGGGCGTTGAATCTGCGCTGGAGGCTGGGCGTATGAGATATTTTCGGTACCTTAAGTGTGCTCTTCGTTGGTAAATAACGTCTTGCGTAGTACTGAAGGGTCGATGAGGGGTGCGGAGCTGCGCGCTCGTGCGCCGTGATTGCAGTGTTTTCGGGAAGCATGGTAGTTTTGTCCATTTTTGAAACCAGATCCCTGGAATGAATGTATTTATCCTATGAATGGTTGTTCAATTTGTTATATCAGCAGTATGAATACAGGGAAAGAATAAATCCATGTTGGCACCTAGCATCTGAAATTTGGTTTTAGCTCTTGGGGGGGGGGGGGGGGGGGGAGAGAACAAAAGTGTTGAAATCACGGCTTGTAGTGAGGTCATGGTATAATTGCTAGCTAATGTTAAAAAGTGCATTGTACATTACCATTTGTAAGGCAGAACATACTTAAGTAATTGTTAAACAGGTCATCCAAACACCTTTATTGGAGCTTAAGTAACTATGACAGCGAACATTGAGTGCTGCAAACTTGCAGCACCCGCAACTGTGGTGCCATTGCTGTGCGTGACCACAGCATTACTGCACTTCAAGGACTGTAAAAATGTACTGGGCCAAGGTAACAAGAATCTGATGAAATTGCTTGCCTATTCAAATGGTCTTCCATACCATTTGTACATTAGTTGACATTGGGGGTGAATGTGATGTCTTTGGGTGAGGAATGAAAAGCAAAATGAGAATGTGGTGGCCAAACAAAACTTCTCAATATGGTACATATATGCAGCATAGAACATTGATGCCAATGGGATGCTGGATTGAAGAGGATAGGAGGACCTGTTTTGTGATTTACAAAATGTTCAGCATTAAACACAATGCATAATGCACATGCTCTTGTTAACATCAGGTAGCAACATACACCTACATCTGTTGTGAGAACAAGATAACCCAAGTGAATTTGCACTGCATTCACAGCTGGCTCCAGGGGACATTCTATGGCAGCAGGTGACAGTGACCACCATGCTCAGGCTGGTCTCAGTGATTGCCAAAGGCCAATAGAAATTGTCTGCTCGCAATTTTTAAGCTTTCTAGCTTTCTAAGGGCTTCCTTCCCAAGTCATTGCTTGCACCTACTGTATTTTTTTAAGGTATGGAGGGAAGTAGTGGATATTGATAATTCTATTGTAAAGGTGTCAGACTCAGTGAAGGCTGATAGAAGCAGATGTTAAAAATGTTGTGTATCTGTTTCATCATTCTCTGGAGCACATAATGCTAAGTTTTTTATTAAGATGTCATGCAAGCTACAACACAAATAGGAGCATCTGGGGCATTGTAGTTAGTGCAGCTACATTCTGGCCCAGGTGCAATCTTTCCCACCTGGAGAAAAGGTTTTGGGGCAATGTGATACCCTAGGCTTTTAGGCTTGATACTAGACAATGTTTTTCAACCAGAAGGGATGTTTTTGTAAAGCCTGAATTAGCAACTTTAATTTCCCACCCTTAGGTGACAACTTGGCTTAGATCCACAGCTGCCATAACATTTTTGTACTCTGGATACCAGGAAGTGGCCGAAAGTCAGACCACATGGCGGTTCTTAATGAATACAAGTAAGTCTCTTCATAATCGTGATGCCCATCTCCATACAGCTTCCCTTCAAATGTTTATGGATCTGTTCAAAACATGAGCGCTAGCAGAATATTTTTGCTCTTGACAAGTCAGTCAGGAAGAGACAAATCATTAAAACCAATTGGAGAGTTTTGCTATGCTCAGTCTCCGACATGGTCTCTTGAATAATTGAGGCATTTCCGACACTGAATTGCGAGTGGTTCTCTTATATGCATTGCCATGACACAGTGGTGTTGTGTTAGTAGGCGGCCATCTGTGGTAGGTGATTGGGCATGTGGTTTTCCATGACTGTCCGTTGCATCCTTGGCAATGAATGCAGTTCGTCAATGGTAGGTTAAGTCGTGTTCAAGTGTGAGCCGGTCTGCACAGGGCATAGTAAGTGAGAGCCTTGCTAATCTACAGGCCAGTGTGATTCTGGTACTTGTTTCTCATTTCCCAGTTTTGTTCAAAGGTGATTCCATCCAGTATCCACACATTTTAGTTTTCACATTTCCATACATGGTTTACCATATACCTAGGTGGCAACACAGGCTGCTTGCTATTGGGCATCTTAGTCAAGTGGGTGCAAGATTTGTGCTTTTGCAGATATCAGTACATGGCTCCTGATGGAAGCAGCAAGTCTGAAGCTGTTGCACCTTCTGGTTTTATTTTGTTGTTACGCAAAGAGGTTAAATGAGTTTCCAAAAAATGGTTTTGTTGCATCATGATGGAACACAAAATATTTTTATTTTACCTAGTCACAATCCTGGAGGACAAAATCTAGCATACCTTATACCAGGAAATGTCAAGGTTTCCAACACTGGTGCATGCGATTCATAGTACAGGGTATGAGACTGTTGTTTCAGTGTACCATGTTTAATACTGATGTTTTCTTTCATTTAAAATGCTTTTACATAAATTGCTGTAAATGAAAAGTGGCACTTTTATTGAGTGCCAATGATTGTACTATTATCTCTCAGAGATAACCTGAGTGAAGCTGTAGTGACCTGCAGCACTTGGATAATTTTGCACTCCACCATGGAAAATTTGTACTCTGTTGCCAGGATTTTTTCAATTTCCAACACTGCTATGTTCTGCCTTGAAAATGATAGATATATATTGCTCTTTTTTAACATAAGGTGCCAGTGTGTACCATGACCTTTGTATTCTTTACATGGCAACACTCACTTGTTTGTCAATTGACGCTCAATGGTGAGGCGACAAATTATGAGTAACCATCCATGGAGTGACGTGTTACTCCCAAAATATGACAATCATGATAACAGTTGAGGGTGTCTGTCAAATGTTGGTCCAGGTGACAAGGCTAGTGGGGAGAGGTTAGGCTGGGTTTGGTAAATGTTGATGCAAGGATTATATGTGATATGATATGAGTTCCTTGATCCAATACAGTACTATGATTTTGGATTAGCATTTAATTCACTACACTGTAGCAAGTCATCAGTATTAAAGTGTTAACATGGTAGTGTAAATGTACCTATTTTATGACTATTTTAATGTGTGCTGTCATAAAGAGGATGACTTATATATGATGCTCTTTTGTAATGTATGGTGCCTTCCTTTATTTTGGCTAAAACTCATCCCAAAGTATGTAAAAGTTAAGCACAATTGTCCTGGCCTGAGTTTAGTGTAGTGCACATTGGTGAGAAGTTAGCTTGCATACCTCACATAATTGTTGGTGCAGAAGACAATATCTTTACAGATGGGCTACTAGTCTGTTGAGGTTAACACCAGTGGAGATGCCTGGTATTTCCAGTTTTTCTGCCTGGAAGAGTGGCCTAATATGTTAACATTGGAGGGTACATTCTCAGCTTTCCAGATTATTGAATTGCATTTGTAGACTTTTAACTCTCCCAATTGTCATGTGTGTGAATGTTAAGAATAATAATTTTCCACCTAACATGTGCATTTAATATGAACTGTGCAAAAAACTGCCACACTGACTGCTGGTCTCTGGTGTAGATGGCTGTTTTCAGTGCATTGCGTATCCAGTGCTGATAATGAAAGCTCTTTTTATGGTTTTACTTAAGTTTAGTAGTACTATCCTGTGAAAGTGGGATTCACTAGGATATAAACCATTATTTGGGTTATTGAATTTAATCATGTTTGTAGGGCAGTCATGTTTAAGTTGTTTAAGTGGTCTGATCTGGACCTGTTGGTGTTAGGTTTGAGCCTTGCAGCTCCACCACTGCATCTCACATGATATCAAGTAAAGGTATGATTTTCTACCCAGGTGTCATGTCCTTTATAGGCAGGGGTTTACTCATGTCATAAAGGCATTTGTGTGCTGAATGAAGGGCACCAGTCAATTCTTGTCCATGTTATGGAAGTTGGTCTGTTGTGTAAGACATTGTTGTTTACAGATGTTTTTGGGACAGTTGCACAAATTTAACCAGAAGCTGCTTTCTGGTTTCTCTCAACTGTGTTTGAAAACATCTGGATATAGCCAGAGGCTGCTGTGCTTTTCTTTCAAAACACTCAAACTGATGACCAACTATGTGTTAGATGCATTGTTTGTCAGTTTAAACAAATTCATCAAGATGGTTTGGTTTGTTATGTCTGGGTGATTAGGCAGTGCCATGTCTGGTTCATCATTGTTCACTGTAATGTTGTTGTTTTTTTGCCATCATTGTTACCCTTCCTTAAATGTTGTGGCTGTTGCACTCATAGCACTACCCAACCACTTATATCCCATTGGCTTGGCATGGATGGGATTCAGCCTAGCCATCAGTTGTATCCTTTCAGTCAAGCAACACCATCGCTTGCCTTCTCTGTTGATGCCAATAAACATTTTGGCATACATGCAGGATTTGGGCATACATACAGATGATGTGGTGACTTGTAGTAGTTAAACATCTTTTTGCTGTGTTTTTGTATGGGGGCCCATTTGACTCTACTGGTTTTGCATCTTATCACCAAGCCATCCCAACTAGCTGCTAACTTCATTTGTTTATTTTTGTAGTGTCATTTACTGGCCCAGTTTGGTAAAACTTTACAAGGTTTTGGTACCCCCTTTAGCATAGAGGTGGCTCCAGGCTTGAATTGTGAGATGCTTGTCATGACAAGTCTTTTGAGTCATGCATTATCAAATTTCTTCACTGCTTAGGTCTGTGTTTGAATGTACTGCAGTAAAGATCTTGGTGTCTGCTCCAAAATTACAGAGGGCATGACCTGGAAACATCAGTCCAATAGGTCAGCACACTGGAGCAAATCAAGCCCCTATGCTCCATCCATACCATGAGAAAATAGAGTTTTAAATAAGTTGAGGAAACATGATTGTATGCTGCACAAAATGGACTGCCTCAGCTCATCTGAAATGTGTGTATTTATGTTTCCAGGGGTCCAAAAAGTCATTGAAGATTAAGCTGAAGCTGGCCAAGAAGCTTCGCCAGAACCAGCCGATCCCACAGTGGATTCGGTCACGGACTGGCAATACAATCAGGTCGGTGGGCTTATCCTGGAACTCATAATACTGGTGTCGTTTGTTTCACATGTTTTTTTCACATTGTGTGAATTGTCTTTCCCAAACAAAATTATGGGAATCAGTTTGGGGTTTATGTCAATACTTCACCACATTAGTAGCCAGAGCAGACAAAGTAGCCAAAGTAGCCAGAGTGGCAAAACAATGTTAATGAGGGACAATAACAAGCATGAACCTGCCTTTTTCCTTTTCCATGTGTGTTATGGACATGACAGGGTCTTGAAAATTTTGTCAGAAGGCAGTCACACTATACTGTGTGGTCTGTTGACCTCACACACGGTATCTGAAATTGGGTGTTGGCCCTTGGGGCAGAGAACAAAAATTTTAAAACCATGGCTTGTAGTGAAAACAAGATAACCAAAGTAAATTTGCCCTGTATTCACAGATGGCACTAAAGCACATTCTTTGGCAGCAGATGTCAGTGAAAAATATGCTCTAGCGTGTCTCAGTGATTGCCAAAGACCATTAGAAATTGGCTGCTTGCAATTCTTAAATTTTCCAGCTTCCTAAATAAGTACTTCCTTCCTAAGTCGATGCTTGCACCTACTGCATTTTGAAGATTTGGAGCTCATGGAAAGTTGTGGATATTGATAATTCTATTGTAAAGGTGTCAGCCCCAATAAAGGCTGATGGAAGCAGATGCCTAAAATGTTGTGCACCTGTTGCACCATTCTCCGGAACACATGATGCTAAGTTTATGATTGAAATGTCATGCAAACCACAATATAAATAAGAGGGTCTGGGATATGGTAGTAAGCGCATCTACATTTTAGCCGAGGTACAATCTTTCTCATCCAGAGGAGAAATTTTGGGGCAATGTGATACCCACCTAGGCTTTTACTGACTAAGATGCACTTAATTTGGGAACACGTGTGTAGTTCCCTATTTAGCTGGATAGAATGCTAGCCCCTCCCCAACTTTGAGAAAAAGACTCGGTCAAAATCGGGCAGAACATGGTTTGCACCACTTCTTCGGGATACAAGATTTATTTGCTCACCCGCTTCACAAAGTTATGTACAAAACTACACCACCTGGGACATCAGGCTGCTGCGTGATCGGGGCTCGGAGGCCAACGCAGCAAGGGCGGAGGAAATATTTACTCCTCACAGAGCAATCTATTTGCATGAAGTTAGCATTACTACATCTGCTCACCGGCATTAGGTCTGATAAAATACTTTTCTCAGCATATGACAGCTAAATTTATATATTGCCTTTATCTGCACCACCAACCAGCCGCGCTATCACCGCTTCTCGCGCGGCTCCTCCAAAGCAAGGTCGGTAGGCTACATAAATGGCGCGCTCGCAGTAGCAGTCTTCAACGACAGGGCCGCTGTAGGTTATCGGTTTTGATGTTGGCTTTTAGGGCCTCATTGATTTTGGAAAAAATGTATTGGTTGGCAAAACCCTTCTGAAATAGAAGTTTGGTCTCAAAAGACGCAAATAATCATACAAATACACCAATAAAAGTTACGCTCAACGCAAAACAAGAAAACATGCTTTAGCTTTATACTCAGATCATGATTCTGTCGCGACGCTCTGTAGATAGATAGAAGAAAATTCCATGTTTTTGCTTAATGATCCTTTTATGCATTTTCATCACGTTTTCAGCTCGGATTTCTTGGTGGAGAATATGCCTTCTCTCCAATGCTAAATTCTCCCCAAGAGCCGGAGACTCGCGGAACCGTGATTTTCCGCGTGCCTAAGCGAGTGTTTGGGATGGTGTTTGGCGTCACCAATATACGTTCTATATGAAGTTGATTTTGGATAGTTCGATTGCAACGTTAATACAAATTTCAGATAAAAAGAAAACAAAATATTTTATTCCCCAATATATGATTAATTCACCCTATATTTAGAGGCACACGTAAGTGTGACATATACTTCCGTATCAATTTTTCTTGTGTTACCGTGATTTCTACGTGCAACCCAGAAACGTTGAATCGTGCAGTGTACGAGATATTCTCTGCGCTTCTCCCTGTTTCGTCAAGAGACGATTACGTTTTTGGGTGCGGGCTCGGGCCCGGTGTATGAGCGCGTCGATATCGTTATTGGACAGTAGGTGGGTTAAACATGTGCTGGTGAGCAGCAGCAGACCTGGGCACTGAATGCATTACAAGGAAAGATTGTGTGATGTGGTAGAGAGATTCGGCTGTAACTTGCAAGTAGTATCCGTCGTTCAATCGTGATTGTGGCGCGTTATGCTGTCAAAATTGCAGGAACAGCTTGCCTCCATCGCTCACAGAGAACAATTCTTTACATTCTTTCCGGTGTATGTACGTGAAGAACAAAATGTCGTGGGGCTAAAAATACCAAGAAACACCCAAGTTTCAGACACTGCACACACGTTTAAAGCAGTATTGAAATATCAGTTGTATTACTTTTTTTGTGTAGGACATCATACTAGTGAACTCTGTTAGCTGAATTGTCTGATCCATACATCTGACCAGATGAATGGATTCCATCCTGGACCACAATGCAGTACATGCAGCGCTCCACTCGGGGTCGGGCTGACATCTGCGGTGGATTATGTTTCATAGATCATCACTCACTTCGCTGGCGCGCCTCGTATCCGTTGAGCCATCTGACCGAGGACGTCCTGGTTTTGCAGGTACAACGCGAAGAGGCGCCACTGGCGTCGCTCCAAGCTGAAGCTGTAGGCTCCCGTTAGGTGTGGACCGCATCAGAACATCAGTCCGACACCAGCGTGCTCAGTCACGCCGCTCTGGTGTCAAATGCCACACGTTCAATAAATTGGTCACCCACGGCGCGTACGACAATTTTTTCGGATTGGGGAGAATGGACTTGGATGGCGATTTGCGTTTAGCGATATCAAATGCGGTTTTCCCATACGTCAGCGTGCAAAGCTGCACGGTGTGGTGACGGTAAGACGTTTTGGTTAGCAATGTGACCTGCGGCAAAGCAAAAGGCGCACTAATGCACCTTGCAATGTGCGTCTGGGGGAAACAACCATACAACACTACTTGTTCTCGGATGAGTCAGAGGTCGGGTGGTGGTGTCAGTTGTGTGCGGAGCAGGCAGGAATGTCATCTCAATCCAAGACATCTTCAGGCGTGGCACGGCAGCAGCGGCGGGCCGGGGTGCGGCAGCGGTTCAAGCATACGGCGGTAAATCACGACGCGTACGGGCTTGCCGTCGATGGTTTTCAATGGTGCCTTTCCATCAGCCTATTCTTGCCCATATTTGGACTAGCAAGCGTTCATGACAAACGAGTAACGCGCACTTACCTGAAACGTCCCGGTCTGCTACCTCAATTGGTCTGGAGCTTGGCTAAGAAAAACTTGGCTCTGACATCGACGGGATGGGCCTATTCTTCGTGACGGCGGTGGAATGAAACATTGCCATTTCGTCACTGCCAATTTAATGAAGGTATTGCAAAAGATAGCAGCGTCTGCATAGTTGGCAATAATGCATTGTCGTAGAACCTGACATACGTCCTGAAATGGAAGTGCATCTGCGAACAAACTACCGCTGATTGCCCAACGCGGCCTCTTTTGCACCCATGTACTGCAAGCGGGCTTCACGTCTACAAACATACGGTATAGGTACCTCAGTAAATGTGAGTTGCTTCACTCTAAATATCATGAATGTGCAACGGAGACACTAATCTACATCTATTTATGTTCGGAACTGCATATAAAGTGGAAGGCATTATTTCAGCAGCAGATAAACATTTTTGCTAACTTCGCAAATCGTTGAACCAATCAGCTGATAAATTTATATCTGTACGTCCGCTAACTTCTTTGCTGGTAAAGTATATACAGGATGCATTCGGCCGAAGTTTGCCACAGGCATTTTCCACTCTTGCCCGTCGTCACCAGAAATAATACGCCAGTTTCGACCCTCATGTCAAGAAATATGGATAATGGCACCGTATCTGGCGGTCAACGTAATGCATGGCAAAAAGCTTGTCCATCTCGACCACGCTCTGAAAGCACTCGGAGTGTCTCCATCGGCATAGAGAATTCGTGATCTCTGGCAAATTTTGCGTGTAAACAGTGTTGAATGCTATCTGTGTACAACTTCCTCGATTACAGATGATAATTGCAACTTATGTTGACAGTGCCGAAAGCTACATATGTGAATACAACTTCCTCGTTTACGGATCGGTCAAACGAACGCGGCCAAAGATAAACGGTTAAGAGCATAAGTAAACCCTTAAACCATGCACATCGGCCTCTGTCTGCTGTGAGCGTGCCTGCAAAAGTCAGCCGGCAATCCGGGACCTGACGCAAAAACACAAGATGTGTTTAATAAACGCGGCGGAAGCTGAACGCCGTCGTCTAATTCGCCAGATTAGTCCGCTCTATTGCTTGCAGAAGGGACAGAATCGAACCCCGCACGGTCTGGACCATTTTTACGAAAATTTCGAGAGCAAAACAGATCATGCAAACGAGGTCCTAGACAGGGGTGCGGGGACGAAAACAAAGTGGGGAAGATGGGCGAAAATAACGTGACGAGCTAGTCCCCATTTTTCTCACGGGATTTTACTCACATACTTGTTTGACTTCACGAAAATGTCGATTTGATTAAGTTTGATGAAAATGGTGATTTGTTTCATGATGATATTCATCATTGACGTTTTTTATTTATCATCGACGACGACACTTCGATGTGTCAGTCATGTATGAACAAAACTCAGCAGAATAAAGATGAATGGATGCAACGAGAAAAACGAAACCCCCGCCTGATAAAAAACGAAAAAAATGCGTCTAAACTGAAACAAGATTCCATGGGCATATTTCCTTGTATGCGGGGCGCTTTCGCATTGATTTTCAACAATGATCTTCGTATGGATACTACGATTAGATTTGCCTTTTTATTTATGATGATAGAGGAGGGCATACCTTATCATCATGCCGCAACATCCATATCCGCAGACCTATGGCACGCTTTCACGATCGCCATGCCTAGCAAAGAAAATAATGACGTCGGGGATGTTGGAAGTCTTTAAGTACCTTCGACTATTTCATACTGAAGACGATAATGAACTAGTAGTTATGAAACGCTTGCCCCATTACCTATCTTAGTTCGAGGCATCTCTTGCTGTACCTCCGTGCTATTATTGCAATGGCTGAGCGATGACGTTATTTTGACACTCTGGTTCACTTCCAGCCCACTACTGATCGCATAGTGCTCTGTTCTGGTCCGAATGACATGGGCCATCGAGATATCACGAGAAGATCGGTGCACCATTGCAGTGCCGCCTTTCACCCTTCCAGCTGCTGGCAGCTTCTAGTCGTTGTGCTTAACCATCTTAGGCGTCTGGTTCACTCACTGACTGGTGCGCAACCGGCCAGATAATTATGAGAAGTCACATAAAAACACACAGGTTTGTTTTGCATCGCCGAGCACCAAATCGTATTTCCATGATGTCAGGACACCGGTTTAATAGATGAACGTATCGCTTGACCATAAAACAATAACAACTCCCGGACGGATTCGGGGGTACGGCATTCGCCGTTATTACCATCAACATTATCCGTGGCATGGATTATAGGAGAGACAAAGAACGGACTGGTACAATGTGTTCACTTCGCCCACTTGGACCATCCGAGGGTAATGGGAGACACTGGAGGCTTTTTCATTCAACGACACAGGCCATGGATGCCCCAAGACGTTATCCTGCAATGATCCTGTCAAGGAATGTTATTCTCGACAATTTGCGCATTTGGGTATTGTGATATAAGCGTTGCAGCATTACGTAACACTCAATGTTCTAAAATGTTTACTAAAAGCTACATACTAGAAAAGAAAACAAATATTTAAGGCGGCCGTGGCTGTATCAAACGGTTATGGCGGATGCACGCCACCGCGTCAACCTCTTCCCAGTTTTCCTCATCGCATGCGGTAAGCCTAGCCTCAAAGGCTGCACACCGGTTCGCCTCTACAGCTGGATCACACAGGGGATTGCACTGACTCAGCCGGCGGTCGTATGACGCCACTGGGCCGTCCCGGCCGCACGTCCCTTGCCTCGGCTGCAGCGGGGGACTCCCCGGCCGGTCCCCCCCCCCCCCCCCTCCCGGGCAGGGTCGGCGGCCAGCTCGCGGCGCCCGTGCCCCGCAAGCCGCATTGCGCCATCTGGGGATGAGGATCGAGCTTGCAAAAGGAGACTCAGAACCAAATGTTAAAGAACACAAAATAAAAAAGAACTTGGGGGTACCCCAAGGATCCATTCTCGGCCCAATTCCCTTCTTAATGTACATAAATGACTTGCCTAAATTAAGCAGTAACATGATTTGTCTGTCTTACGCTGATGATACCGCAATTGCTTTCAAAAATAAAAGTATTGTTGAACTTCAAAACAATGTCAATACGCTTTTGCTTCCAATGACTTCCTGGTCTGCTGCTAATTTTCTTTCCCTGAACGTGTCAAAAACATTCACACAGCATTACACTACCCTTTCTTCGCACTTCCAACTAAATGTGCAAATTAATAATTCACCTATTAAAAAAAGAAATAAGATACCTCGGTGTAATCATTGACAAATCTCTTAAATTTAGAAGCCACACTAATTTTGTTGCAAGCATAGTAAGTAGAAATATTGGAATAATAAGTTGGCTTAGGTACTTCATTGATAAAACAACGTCACATCCACTCTATAACACTTTGATTCTTCCTTTTTAAATTACTGCTGCCTGATTTGGGATATAAATTATGCTTCTTAACTAGATGGGTTACTAATTTTGCAAAAAAGGGCTGTGGGTCTCATAGAAAATGTGTATCCTCCACAAAGCTCAGAGCCAATCTTTAAACGATACAAAATTTCGAAACTATCGGATATTGCTAAATCCCAAATGTTAATTGTGATGCACAAATTTGTAACTTCACAGCTCCCTGCATCATTCGATTTAATTTACAATCTCTACGAATCCAATGACATGGATATGAGGCGAGCAAAACATTTAGACCAACCTTTCTCTTATCGTAATTATAGACTATTTACAACATCTTGCCTTGGCCCTAAGCTGTGGAACAACATTATGATTCCATAATTTCCAACAATAACTGATATCCCTGCATCAAAAACCATCGTTAAAAACATCATCCGCAAGCATTTCGTGAATACATATTAACGTAACCAACATACGTGAAGACATTGCAATCCTTTGTGCTGTACATATCCAACGCACTTCATATTTAACCTCCTTCATGTTCCATAATGAATTTCTGATATAGTTAAAGTCATGCACATATACCCAAATTCACGGCGCTGGCTCCGGGAGTTCTCCCAGCAACAAGCTCTGCTTAGCTGGGTGGACTCCCTGGACACCCAGCTCAAAACCCAGCACGAAAATGAAGAGGTAATTGCCCCTCCGACTTGTGTGACTGTACAGCCCTTACTAACACGGTGAATTGAGTGGTTGTAGCTTGTTGGGCGGTTATAGCGGGCTGTCATTAGCTTACTTTGGCTAATGACTAATTTAAGCTTTCTCATCTATGATTTTCCCTACCTATTACATAAAACAATCCCTTCGGGTCTGCACCACCTCTTCGCCTGCTTCTCTACGTTTGTTTCATCTTCCTAGCTGGGAGTGCCGCGACTTTATTTTATGTTTTCTGGTCGTAACGTACGGTTTACTGCGTCGCTGGGATTGAGGGAGGGGCACTCCTGGTTACCTGTTCTTGGGTAACGGCATAGAAAAAAAAATTGGCGTGGGTTCAGAGTGCAATTCGGTGCTATCCGTCCAGTGAATGCGTTATGTTCTCATCAGTGCGAGCCATAGACTGAAGTATTGCACATACTCGCAGCTACATCTCACCGACAATACAAGTGCTTAAAATTGGAACATTTCCTGCTGCATAGGCCTTAGGCGTCTCTCTCTCTCGTCTCTCTCTCTCTTCTCTCTCTCCTCTCTCTCTCTCTCCTCTCTCTCTCTCTCTCTCTCTCTCTCTCTCTCTCTCTCTCTCTCTCTCTCTCTCTCTCTCTCTCTCTCTCTCTCTCTCTCTCTCTCTGCACCAGAGTGTTTTGTTTGAATTTGTGGGCCTTTCTGAAGCTCTTGGCGTGTTTCATCATCGCCACATCTTCGTTTTTATCGTGAAACTTGTAACCGTTTGACTCGAATCAAACATTAAGCCATACATATGAAACTATTCGTAGTAAATGCATCACTTGATATGACATTCACTCCTCCTCGCTCACATCCCCTGGCATAATGTGTTACTCGTCAAGAGGCATCCTTAAAAGTTCTCACTCTTGAGTATGAGCACGGATCGCAATATCGAGTGCCGAGTGAGTGAGATATTTACCACCAGGCCCTTGATTAAACAGCACCTCCTGATAGACTGAAGGTTTTTCATTTGAAATGAGAACTTTGAATTCATTAATTGAAACTTGCAGATTGTCAGATCATACGCGACCGTAAATAGTTTGCGGTCAATTTACGGTCAATTTACGGTAAACTGACAAACATGCGTCGCTTGCTTTCATCTTCCTTTTTTGCGGAACCAAAAAAAGATAAAGAGATTATGAATTACTTCATCGCTTCAAGAAACGTGCATCGTAAATACACAATATAAATACGTTGCATTTCGGATTCTTAAGAAGTTACGTCTTATAAAGATGTGTCATAATGCCACGCTATGTGTTTAATTCGATGTTCGTTCAGGACACAGACGGCGAAGTTTGCAATAACGTCTTTATTGCTGTGCCTCACCAACATTATATCGTTGACACGTCGCAGCCAATGCCGTTCACAACCACCAGCTACATGCCCTCTCACACAGGATCAAACGGCAATCTTTGAACTCCATTCCTAATACTTCCCGAGGCTGAGCTCAGCGCTGCTTACTCCCGGTGCAGCAGCTTGCTGAGCTCGAGACCGAGCTTCTCAGCGATCACCTCCTTCAACGCCTCCTCCCCCCTTCTGCTCCAGCTTGGGGTCTCCACTTTTTCTTCCACAGCCGGTTGACCACCAGTTCTGCGAATTGGAAGTCGACCGGGCTGCCGATCAGCCGATCCACCCAGCGACCGACGCCCTTCAGGTTCACGTCCACGGTCGATGGTCGGACAGGCGGAGCGTCACGTCGGTCCGCTGCAGGCACGGCCACCACGTGCCGTCTCCGACACGTCCAGCCGCAGCGCCACGTCCAGCTCGCCGACCGGCCTCACTCAGCCGGATCTCCGGCTCGGCCCTCCAGCTTCGCAGAGATCTTGCGACCCGACATATCCGCTTCTGCGCCGTCAGCTCTGCGATCGAAGTTCCCCGCGGAGCCGCGGCCAAGCTGACGGTTGCGCGCAGCGCCAGTGACGTCTCCTCCGGGAACGAAACATGCAGGTTTTCTATGTTTGTAGCTGGCTAAACCGTAGAATGCGGATGTTGGTGAGCTCATGGCAGACGTCGTCGTCGCAATTTTCTCGTCAGTCCAGCGTCAAGGGGTCGTGCCGCCGGTGCACGTCGTCCCGCATGCTCTCCAATAGCAGCTTCACGCATCGGCTGAGCGCCGCTGGATCGCTCAGGTCGCAGTTTGGCTGCTCGCTGACGGCCGATGCCAGCAGCGCCAACAGTGGCAGCACGAGCAGCAGATGCATGGCGCCTCGACGGACAGGAGCGCACTGCAAGCGCCGTCCCGCGTCCGCTGCTTTTGTACCGCGCTGCTCTGGGATTTCCGGCCGAGGACTTGCCCCGGGTGGTGACTGGTGAGCGGTGGCCTTTCCGTCGGCTGCACCGCAGATGTAACCGGCACTCGTACAGCAGACATCTGCTTGGCCGAATCCAGACGAAGCTCCCCATTTTTTGGTGCTCTGATGATGCAATGTTTGCAGGGAAGATTATGAGAGTTCATGAGCGCGTTCTGGTAGCTTCATGGAGTTCGCGGCAGGCTCCTGCGCTGTCGAGTTCTAGTGAGCCATTCAGCGAGCAGGTGACTCATTTGCCCCGCGTATGCATGCGCACGGCCTGACGCCGAGTCCGACTACAGCTTTTTCACCGATGGTCGAAACTACTTCACGCTTCAGACAGCATCAACCCCCTGCAGAACTTAAACGGGCAGAAAGGTAGTGCTCACTCCTACTCTGCATCTACCCACCGCAGCAGAGCGCAGCGAACAAAATTAGCATGGATGGTTTTCGTATATATATCAGCTTGAAAATGAATGAATACAGCAATGAAATGACGAAACTAAGTGCACTTTGTGAAGCAATTTGTCGCGAGGGTAATTTTCAGACAAAAAAGCAGTGAGCGCTGTTGTACTCGTGCTATCACAGCTTGGATAAGGGCGGGAGGGAGGGACCGCAAGGTCATCGCGCCGTCGCCAGACCGTTATCGACTTGACCTTGACGTTCCGCCAGTCAGGCACAAACGTTACATCGGACAGTCATATCGGTGCGCGCAGACCGACTGGGCGCCAGCTGTGCCAGACCGGGTGCCAGCTAACCAACAGCGCCGCCGCCCCGCCCCGGCCATGATTCTCTACACGTACTGGATGAGCTCGTGCTCGTGGCGCGTCCGCATGGCACTGGCCTGGAAACGGCTGGAGGCAGAGCGGCGGCCGGTGGACCTGACGAAGGAAGAGCAGCGGCGCGCCGAGTTCGCCACCGTTAGCCCGCAACAGCAGGTGCCCGTGCTGCTGGACGGTGACGTCAGCATCAGCCAGTCGATGGCGATCCTGGAGTGCCTGGAGGAGGCATACCCGGCGCGGCCGCTGCTGCCCGCCGAGCCCGGCCGGCGCGCGCTCGTCCGGCAGATCTGCGAGATGATCGTGTCCGGTATACAGGTGAGAGCTGTACTGGGGTCAGGTGGCAGGTATGGTGCGACCCAGCGCTGCGCTCGGGTCGAGACCGAGGTATGAGTCAGACCATGGCCTGGGCCTGACTAGGCCTGGGGAACTAGGCCTGGGCGGCCAGTACGGGTACCTGGCCTGAGTGACGGGTGTGGGGTCTGGCCTGCCTGACGGGGAGTTGTGGTCGAGGTACGAGCCAGACCAGACCTACATTTTAGGTCAGTGGCCTTATGTGACCTTTAGGGGATCACGGTGACCAAATACCCACGAGATGGCTTTATTTTGATATTTGAATAAGCGTGAAAAATTACGCTAGGCGGTATGTTCTAAAAAACAAAACGTTTACCTGAATCACTTAAGGTCAGTGGCCCACTCTGACCTATCAGAAGTCTATGAAAAAATTCCGTTGCGGTCCCTGTTATAAATAATTCGAGATAGGCGCAAAAAACTGCACCATGAAGCTGTCCATAAGTTGTCATCAGTGATGCAACATCAATCTTAAAAAAAACCAGCTTGGTCTGGACTTCGGTCTGATCATGCCTGATCCAAGATCAATGGGAGCTGTTATGTCCTAAGTTAAGCTGCTTCATTATCTAAGGAACTATCTCAGATATGTATGGTTTCATCTACACTCCGTTGTTGCCTCAGAT